GAGAGAGCTCAGAGTGAGCTTACTATTAGCCATGAAAAAAATCTCTGTTCCTGTGGGACAGAAATATCACTAATTAGCATTGTTAGTACTTTTAAAAACTCTCCTTGCAACCTGTTATTCACAAAGATTACACGGCACTAGGCGGCCTCCATTGTACTTTTTAAGGCCTTACAAATCCGAGTATTGCTTTTACAGACTTTAATCTAACATGTGTCTATTGTTTGCATATTATTATCAAATTTACAATGCCTGAAATCACTCACAATGTTAATATTCTAAAAAAGTGTTTTTCTGAAAGAGTTATACGAGCCATTAAAACTACGTACGATGTAATTTTCTACTATTGAATTACTATTTATTATAATTAATCACGATAATTATATTGAAATTTTTTCTGAAAATTTTAGTTTATGATGCATCAATCAGATTGCAAAATAACAATGGCGTGTACATGCGTTTATTGCATATACTGGAGATATCTAAGACTCCTCCATTGTATTTGTTACGATTGTTAAATATTTCTGACATTCATTACCAGTTATTAGAAAATTGTTTTTTAGCCATTGTCTCTTTGTAATTTTCTAGTTGTACGTTGAAGCAAAAAGGTATCTGAAGATAATTTCCGGCTATGCAGTCTTCTTAAAGACGTAACGTATGTTTCTGTAAATCTACGTAATGATTGTCAATCTTATATAAATAAACACGTAATATCAGTACTAGATCCTTACGTTATTGGCTTTATAAATATTTAGAAACCTGATCTAGAATTTGACATTCATATGGACATTACACATAATATTCTATTTTAATGATATGTATTGAGACCAGTCACCAGTTTGCTTCTATTTGACTAATTTTATAATAAATACGAAAATTGTACATTCCATCTAAAATTCACTTCGATATAAGAAAGTTAAATAAAAATGGGCCAAACATATGTGATATAATGTTAATGTAACCACTATACATTTTAATTTTCGTAATGCGGTGAATTTACGGAGAAATTAACTTCTGAGGCGGTACTATTGAGATAGAAGATTCTTTCGCATCGCATTCATTGTAGGTAATGGTTGGGTTTACGATGACAAAGCGATTGTTTGAGGCAGCCATTGCTTATATCAACTATAGGCATTAAAAAAAGGTTAAAGGTTAAAAGTTTCATGATAACAAAATCGTAGACGTCATCGATATCAATATTTCAGAGGTTTTGATTCTAGACGGTAAAAGTATACCTACTTATAATTACATTATTAATGGAATCAGGCGTTACTTTGCGCACATGCATTATAATGAAGTTGTTATAATATATATAATAAATGTATAACTTAATTTGCTAAATTCCACGCAAAGAAAAAAAATGTGTCGTGACCAGTTTCAAGGGTTTTTAACAACTCCGCCTACAAATTAAACTACATAATTTTCAACAACTCCGGCTACGTTTCCTCTAAGACATTAGTAATAATTACAAAGATTATTGGCCTTTTTTTTTTTTAAACGTTACCCCCCCACTAGGATTTTCTCCTATGTCGTGGAGGCAGTTTACAAACATAAATTGCACAAGGACAAACATCCAGACCCAGAACAATTATTTGTAGGCCATACAAATACTTGTTCCGTGCGGGATTCGAACCCGCGGCCCCCAGCGCAACAACTGATTGTAATTGGCCTAATCACTATTCTATAATATATTACTAGCTGACCAGGCAGACGTTGTTCAGCCCTTTCCGACGACCATTTGCTTTCCTAAAAAATCTCCTGAGATTAGCAATAAAAAAATTGAGGGTCACTTATCGGGATAAAAACTATCCTATCTCTCAAGTTCGACCAAACTGCACTCAGTGTGAAAAATTTCATTGAAATCAGTTTAGTAGTTTAGGAGTTCATCGCGGAAAAACAACTTGACACGTAATTTTTATATATAAAGATTTACAATAAAGTAATTTCTAAATTTACGTTCGAATTAATGGATTTTATATAATATGTTTTTAGTCGTTATTAGGAATACGCTTCTGTTCACCTCCTAATTTGTTTCCCTTAGTAGTCTCTTACGACATCCATGCGATGGTATGGCTTCCTAATAACGATTAAAAATAAAAATCTGCGCTTGTCCACCCGCTTGCCAAGCGTGGCAACTATGGTAAACATCCCCCATATGAGGAAATCTATGTTCAGTGGACTTTAATAGGCTGTAACGGTAAATTGAAATAAAATGGAATTTGTGTTACGTCCGTTATGTATATAAAATCCATTAACACAAAAAATTTTAGAACGGATGTCCTTCGTAAATATATAGATTCTCTCTCTCTCTCGATAAAAAAAGCGTTTTTGAAATTAATGCGATCTATCGAATTAAATGTTAAAGTAAATGTCACTTTTAAAAGTCGATTTTCCGTGATGTTTCGAAAGCTGACGCAATGCAGTTTTTAACCTGTTTCTTGCAGGTGATCTACGTGAGTTTATAAATGCTTATGTGTAAGTAATGCATACTTGGATTTACTAAGTTTAAAGTTGGAACAAAAATATTTATTTATCGTTATTATTTAAATATTAGAATCATACAAGTTTTATTAAATCAACATTATGTGGCTACTAGTAGAATATTTACGGACACGTTATACTTTTTTCTTTTCTCATAATAAAAAAAATCTAGTAATTATTAGTAATCAAAACTTTTTTATTTCATTGTATGCCACTTAGTTAAAATGAAGAATTAAAAAGTATTTGCATGTGGTTTTTTTCGTAACAATAAAATCTTTAAGCGATGGAAACTGTAAGAAAAGTCAATAAATGCTTTTCGTGGAAAGTCGAATGATGCATTTTATAAAAGAACATAGCAAGGTCAAGTTCAAACATATACAATATAGTATTAGCGCGTAAAAGTAAAGAGAGGGAGGTTCCTCATAAAAATTGGCTGTTTGACACTCTAGCCTTCTTTGTTAACCGTTGTGTAAATTTGAAGGCCAAGGACGAATAAATGAAAAGTGAGAACAAGCGAATCTGTTTAAAATAAGAATGAAAAGTAGTAGTTATTTGTTATAATATTTTATTATAATGGTAATATTATTATTATTATAGGATAGGGTGACAAACGAGCACACAGACCACCTGATGGTAAGTGGTTGCTGTGTCCATAAACATCTACATCTATCCTCGTTTGAGAATCATAATGCAGATGCGTTTTTACCCGTGAAAACTAAGGTGGAATGCCTCTTTTCCAGTAAAAAGGTTCTCCGGTTCTCTACACTCACCATACGAAACACGGCAGTATTGAGCTGCTATTTTACGCTGGTATTCTGTGAGAGCGTGGTCTTTCTCCGGTCGAACCGACCCATTCTTGCTACAACTATACCACTAATATAGCTGCGGCATGGCTCTACTATTATTAATTTTAATTATTGAGTGGCCCAATGAATATTATAAGTTAAATGTGACAACTAGAATGTCGTGTAAATGTTTACATTAAAATCCCTTATTTTTTAAGTTTGAATAATTTAATAAAGCGTAAGTTTAGCCATTTCCAAAATTTGTGAACGTACATAAAATAAATATACGCGTCATTTATATAACCTCTTAGTTTTTAAACCTCAGTTAAAAAGCTCATAAACCGGCAGTCAGTGCTTTTTCTTTCCAACCTCAAGGTCTTACGCAATAAGAAAGTTCATGTTTTCTACGAAACATGTTTGAATATTCAAGTTATAAACGTAAAAGAATCTGATATTCCGTGCCATTTAGGTATATACCAGATTAAATACTTTCGCTAATTTTAAGCTACAAATGGGAGTTATTATATCTTACTTAACTCCATTACATTTATGTAAGCAATTAATAAAGAAAAGCTAAAATTATTATCTCAGTAATAACTGTTTCATATCAACCTACTAACAAGATTAAGTATATGCAAGTAAACTTGATTATGCATAAATTATCAAAACAGAAAGTGAATTAACTGAGTAATAAAATTTAAATTTGTAGTCTTTGAAACACCTTGAAAAGTGAAGATAAATTAATTTAACTTATTATTAGGGAAATATCTTAATGATTTATTATGTTTAGGAAGTTTCTTGGTAAAGCAATATTAACAATGCATGCACATACGAACAGAAGTGTTATAACAAACCGTTTTACCTTGCATTTTTTTTTGCTATATTGTTCTACACCGGTCATGCAACATTGGATCAACAGAATGATATAAATGATGTGAGCCGTAAAAAGTTTATATCCGTTATGATAGATAACCATTATTAGGAAACACTGGTCATTACCCTCCGCTTAGGGGGTTTTTGTATCAATATGTTGTATCATAAACAAAATGGGGGAGAGTCCTTATAAAAGAGTTCAACGAACGTTTATGCTTTGTTCGTATGCAGTGATGCGAAACAATGGGTTAATTCAGGACGTCTCTGTAACTGTTGTTTTCAAAAATAACTAAATGTCTAAAATAGATAATGTGATAATTTATTAAAAATGGGCCCTCCTATGTTTGCAATGGTTAATCGTTGGTACGGTTTATAGAAATATATTCAAATAACATGGTTATTAATAAGTTGATTTCATCACCAGATTTAAAAATCTTAAAGATAATACGAAACAGAGAATAATATTTTCAAAAAGGTTAATGTTTAACTTATTTAAATAATCTTATTCGTGGGTAGTTGTTATATACATAAACTAGACTGTCATTTAGCATTCCAATCACCGCGATCGGCGATCATAATTTACATAATAATCATTATGATCGCATTAACAATACCTCCTACAATATCAAAGCAATGTCGAGTGCTCTTACCGAGTTAAATTAAGCCCAACTGTTATGAGTTGTGAGAGCGTTGATATAGAGATAGATTTACTTAATGCATAGAATGTTGTGAATGATTTTCATCACTAAAATAATTGAATGAAATGTTGAAACGAAAAAATAAACTTATGACGTGTCTTGCCTACATAATATCATATAAATGAAGACAGGCGGATGTGAGAATTCTGTATGCAAATACACTTACTTAATGAGGCTGAGCGGACCTGCGAAGGCACAGGCTAGTTCCCTTAGCGACAGCTATCTAGGGCACTGTACTGACGTGTGTCGCAAAGAAATCACAACAACAACACTTTCTGAATACACTCACTACACCATGAAAGTGATATCGTTTCGAGAACGGGCACTGAACTGCTCAACTATTCTTAATAAATAAAAAGAGTAGAGAGGCAATTTACGTATGGTAGTGCTATATTTTAGTACGTATGCGGAAGAATACGCGACGAAATTGCATTTTGGAGGCTCGGAGGCGTAGCCTCTTTCGAATGCGAGTGCGACTCAAATGTCAGCAGCGGCGGTGCGCAGGCGCTGACTCGCCCGCGCCCAGCTGCGTGACGTCACTATGGTATTCAAAATGGCGGCACGGAATTCGAGAGCCTACATGCATTGCCGGTTGCCGGTACAGACGGTACTAGGTATCTCGGTATTGCGCTAATAACCATTGATTACTTGGTATAATATCGGTCTCATTTTACTTTATGTCATTATCTATGATATAAGTACTTAAAAGCCAGGTTTCAAAGTTTGGGTTAAAAATGTTTAATGAGTAATCAATCAATGTAACTAATAATTTACTTTGTTGTGTAACTCAAATAGTTTTACTACGTTAGAAATAAAATAATTAATTATATTGTTTACTTTAAACAATACCCGTTTTAGGTTATTAGGAGTAAATTTATAGTATTTAACAAAAAAAAATAAAAATATTCTAAATATTATTGCTTACTATAGATACGTTTTAAATTATTAGGGGTAAAAAATAGTTTTTAACAAACATATATTATAGTTTAAATAAATAATATGCAGACATGCCAATATTAACTTAAAAAATGATCATGATGTAATTCTTAAAGACAGAGGGTAGGAATAGAGGGGGGAGGGGTCAAAAGTGTAGTCCTATTAAAATCTAAAGATTTAGAAAAATAGAAATTGAAAACCGTACGATACAATATGTTTCATAGATATCCCGTTCCATAACTAAAAATATGAATCATTAGCAGCAAACCAGTCACAGGCCCTTTTTTAAAAATGCGAAAATATTGACAGACTGTTGTCAAATGACTGACTTCAAACATGAGGGATTTTTAACGTTTATGAGATGTTTTCAAAGGAAGCTCAGGATAATATCTTTGAAATGTGATGTCATTCACAAGAGTTGCCATCATCATTATCATTATCTTCATCATTATTTAAACCTGAAATTCTGATTTTAAGATTAAGAGATAAAATATAATTTTAAGTTGTAAGGTACGACATCTTTCTCAGAGGTGACGACGCTTCTACTGTATGTAGCCATTGTCTGTGGTCGGTTGCGGTGTCTATAGGCTACCGTAGATACTAAACATTAAACTTTTAATAAAAAATTAAAGCAGACTTCAAGACTAGAAGTAAAATTAATTAAAAGATTTCCACATATTATAGAAGCCGTTTCCACGTAAGAAGTGGAAAGCCGTTTCCAAGTAAGTAATGTTTTAAAAAGTTGGTACATGACTTCTTTTTGAAACGAAGCGATGGAATGGTGATCATATATTTTGATATATTTAGATGTTTTATTATTTGCAATTTTGATATTTCTCAGACATGCCTTTTTCCTTCCGTTTCCTCACGATGTTTTCCTTCACCGCCGAGCACGGGGTACATCAGCACTTTAAATTGACATTAACAATTTCATTGGTGCCCGCGGGGATCAAACCCGGGTTTGCTTGCGTACTGTGAAATTAACGCGAGCGCTAACCATCTAGCTACCTCGGCTCTTAAAGAAATAAAAAAAAATATTTCGAAAACATGTGAAGTTCGCTAACACGCTCTTGGGCAGCGTGGTGGGTACTTCCTTGCCCTAAAACCCTCTCAGAAATGAGGCCTGTACCCAGCACTGGGACGTATATAGGCTGTAACTTTAATTTTTTTAATTTTAATATATGTATTTTATTATCTTAAATAACGTATGTATTATATCTACATGTTTTGTTTATATATTTACATACACTATATGTAATGTTTTTGTATATTATATGTATATTATAGCACGTATGTATGTATGTGTGAATAGGTATCTAGATATGTATATACGTGTATATAAATGCACCTGCTACAAAACCTCATCATTCCACTAGTTCACTACAAGAGAATGCCGATAGGCATTAAGTCCAGCCTTTGTTAACCCATTTATTAAGGTCTTAAAAATAAAGATTAAATAAATTAATAATAGCTTCTGAAGTCGGTGCTAAGAATGTTGCATAGAAGAATTAATGCACCGACTTCAGAAGCTATTATGTGGCAATTACTTTATTATTATTTTTAGTTATTTGAAATTGGTTTTTAATTTTTATTAAGTTTAATATTTTGAACCTTTTCATCGGACTATGGAATATCACGAGCTCAAAGTAAAGACTATAATGTAATTTAAATAGTTTCATTAAATACTTCGTTTCATATTTTTAACCAATTTGCAGCCATACTCGACGAATTCCAGTCTCCCGAACAAGCTACCATAGACCACTTATATCTGGCGGTGCCACAGTCCCTTCAGCGGTGCCAATTGAGTGTCGGTATTTCGAAGTGCTGAAGTGATTGTACAGTAGGGCTACGATGGATATCCTCTTACAAAATGAGAGTATGAAGCCTTTCCAACTGCAGAGAGGTGTAAGACAGGGTGCCGTTATATCCTCGAAACTCTTCACCGCTGCATTAGAAGAAGTTCTCAAGCTGTTGGACTGGGAAAAATGGCGAGTACATCACTCACCTTCAATTTGCTGATGATAAAGTCCTTATGGAAGTATTGCTAGAGGACCTTAACACTACACTCAATGTTAATAATGTAATCTTTCGGATGTAAATTTTTCAAAAAGAGTTATTGTTTTATGACCACAAAATTATTTAAACTGGGCTATAACAACTATTTGTTTACCTTTTTGTAACATAATGTGAAAAGTTTACTATGTTTAGCCGTTGTTGACGTTGTCTTTCGTAGAATACAAGATAGCTAAAAAACAATTATTTAAGTAAAAATATGTATAATCAGTTTTAAATTTAATGCTCATATCACGGATAATTTATTACTGTAATTTATAAATGAGAATAAAAGTAATAGTTTCTAATTACGATTTTTCTGTGAAGTACATAATATGATACAAGTTGTAATTTACTATAATTACATAATAATTATTACTATATATTATAATGTTTTTATTTCTAGAACATTATAGAATATATATTTTTATCTGCGAGTCATGCGAGACGAGCATTTAGGAGTTTTCGATTTTATATGAAAAGATTTACATCCGAAAGATTACTATCCGAGATTCCGATATCCGTGATATTTTTAAAGTATAATATTTATGTGCTTATTTAATTACTCGTACTTTTAAAAAGCACGAAATATCTTTAGATTAATCTTATCTCTTAAGTGTCACAGGATACTTTTTATGGAATTTATTATAATACTCACTCGTCAAGCATTATGACGTCAGCTAATAGCGCATTCGGAATGTATAATTTTTGTAGTTATGTAATAAATTAACAATAGATCACTGCAGTCGGAATTTTTTATTTCCAATGTTAATTTCTTGTAACACATTCTAAAATTAAGCTTTGTTCAACAGGGATCCTCAAGTGGGTTATTATTAACCAGATGCATATCTCTAGAAATTTTCATCTTACATTCACCATTTTATTTAAGAAAAACAATTAAAAAAAATAATACGCCGCGTTGAATACAAATTCCTTTGATCAGTATAGTGAATGATGAAAAGCTTGTTAATATGTGCGTATTGTTTTAAAACCCTCCTAAAAACCACGACTTCTAGTTCCTAATAAACGGGCCTGAGTGATTCAAATTGTGTTCCGGGCATTCTAAGTTTCAATTGTCAGAGAGGCACGTAGGTGAGTCGCCATGTGAACAAGGTCGAGGTCTATATAAATTGTGTTTCGAATATAGCAGACGCCCACACCCAGTCTCTGTAAACCTATTGAAATGTCTACTTATGGAAATCATTCAATTATTTATCGTTAATATTCTGTCTTTTAACCTTCTGGAATAGAAGTAGTGTAACGCTACTAAGCTCTTCTTGCAATATTAAATAGAATTTTGAATTTGCTTTTGCGATATTCCATGTCTTTTGTAAGACGTCATCAAATAAAGCTTTCTAATAAACGCTGTTTGTTTATCTTAGAACTTAAAAATCGGCCCCAAGTGTAATAATTGTTATCTACTATCTATAGAGCCGTGGTAAGTAAGTAGTCCGATCTCCGCCATTAACAATGGAATTGTTACTAGTAATTTAAAGTGCTGATTTACTGTTTGATTGGCAATAAAGAAAAAAAATTGTGAAAAGTACAGCATGTCAGCAAAAATGAAAAACTTATTCGAGGATATGAAATCCGCCAATATGCATCGGGACGTACTTTAGTGTACTACGATCTATACTCATTTTATGTTAATATTAATTATTAACATAACTATTTCTATCATAGCCCATCACAAGTTCACTGCTGAACATAGGCCTCTATCAGAAATTAACTTTTAAACTCTTTCCTGAGCGAGTGCTTGTCAGTAGCGCTATCCAGTTTGGGGCTGCACTGCCGCACGTGATTTTTTAAAATCAGTTGCTAATTCAGCTTACTCATCTGTTGTATTTCTTAATGTTTCTGTCAAGTAGTCAATAGTTATAGTAAAAAAGTAAACTACAGCTGATTACTTAACGGTCAGTGTAAGTGGTTACAGTTTAAATACTAGCGGAATATATATATATATATATATATATATATATATATATATATATATACTAGCTGGCCAGGCAGACGTTCTTCTGCCCTTTCCGACAACCATTTACTTTTCTAAAAAAAACTGCAAATAAAATTGAGGGTCACTTATCGGGATAAAAACTATCATATCTCTCAAGTTGGACCAAACTGCACTCAGTGTGCAAAATTTCATTAAAATCAGTTCAGTAGTTTAGGAGTTCATCGCGGACAAAGAATGTGACACGTAATTTTTATATATAAAGACTAGCTGGCCAGGCAGACGTTGTTCTGCCCTTTTCGACAACTCTTCATATAAAAAATCTTTAAATTCGTAATAAAAAAAATATTGAGTGTCACTTATCAGGGTAAAAACTATCCTATCTCTCAAGTTGGACCAAACTGCACAGAGTGTGCAAATTTCATTGAAATCAGTTCAGTAGTTCAGGAGTTCATCGCGGACAAACAATGTGACACATAATTTTTATATATAAAGATTATATGTAAAAACACAAATTGTTTGTATGATATGGTTGTGTAGATATTGA